GGAGGAGGTGCAGTGGGCTATGTGGTGGAGGAGGTGCAGTGGGCTATGTGGTAGAGGAGGTGCAGTGGGCTATGTGGTGGAGGAGGTGCAGTGGGCTATGTGGTAGAGGAGGTGCAGTGGGCTATGTGGTGGAGGAGGTGCAGTGGGCTATGTGGTGGAGGAGGTGCAGTGGGCTATGTGGTGGAGGAGGTGCAGTGGGCTATGTGGTGGAGGAGGTGCAGCGAGCAACACAGCAACCTCCCCCCACTCTCTCTAGCCTATCCCTCCTCTCTTTTTGTTCTGCTATGTGTCCATATGGCTACGGCCAGCACCAGATGGCTGGTTTATGCATATCTTCTGAGGAACAATCCTCTGCCATGTCAATAAGACTTTTTGCATTATGTATGTAATGTGCAACGATGTGAGTGCTAGGTAAGTATATTGCCTCACTGATGAAACATTTGACAGTAAGAGACATGATGTACAGTGTGGAATTCACCTTAGTATACAGTGGGGGAAAAAAGTATTTAGTCAGCCACCAATTGTGCATGTTCTCCCACTTAAAAAGATGAGAGAGGCCTGTAATTTTCATCATAGGTACACGTCAACTATGACAGACAAAATGAGAAAAAAAATCCAGAAAATCACATTGTAGGATTTTTAATGAATTTATTTGCAAATTATGGTGGAAAATAAGTATTTGGTCAATAACAAAAGTTTCTCAATACTTTGTTATTTTACATTTACATTTTAGTCATTTAGCAGACGCTCTTATCCAGAGCGACTTACAGTTAGTGAATACATATATATATTTTTTTTATACTGGTCCCCCGTGGGAATCGAACCCACAACCCTGGCGTTGCAAATGCCATGCTCTATCAACTGAGCTACATCCCTGCCGGCCATTCCCTCCCCTACCCTGGACAACGCTAGGCCAATTGTGCGCTGCCCATGAGTTATATACCCTTTGTTGGCAATGACACAGGTCAAACATTTTCTGTAAGTCTTCACAAGGTTTTCACACACTGTTGCTGGTATTTTGGCCCATTCCTCCATGCAGATCTCCTCTAGAGCAGTGATGTTTTGGGGCTGTCGCTGGGCAACACGGACTTTCAACTCCCTCCAAAGATTTTCTATGGGGTTGTGATCTGGAGATTGGCTAGGCCACTCCAGGACCTTGAAATGCTTCTTACGAAGCCACTCCTTCGTTGCCCGGGCGGTGTGTTTGGGATCATTGTCATGCTGAAAGACCCAGCCACGTTTCATCTTTAATGCCCTTGCTGATGGAAGGAGGTTTTCACTCAAAATCTCACGATACATGGCCCCATTCATTCTTTCCTTTACACGGATCAGTCGTCCTGGTCCCTTTGCAGAAAAACAGCCCCAAAGCATGGTGTTTCCACCCCCATGCTTCACAGTAGGTATGGTGTTCTTTGGATGCAACTCAGCATTCTTTGTCCTCCAGACACGACGAGTTGAGTTTTTACCAAAAAGTTATATTTTGGTTTCATCTGACCATATGACATTCTCCCAATCCTCTTCTGGATCATCCAAATGCACTCTAGCAAACTTCAGATGGGCCTGGACATGTACTGGCTTAAGCAGGGGGACACGTCTGGCACTGCAGGATTTGAGTCCCTGGCGGCGTAGTGTGTTACTGATGGTAGGCTTTGTTACTTTGGTCCCAGCTCTCTGCAGGTCATTCACTAGGTCCCCCCGTGTGGTTCTGGGATTTTTGCTCACCGTTCTTGTGATCATTTTGACCCCACGGGGTGAGATCTTGCGTGGAGCCCCAGATCGAGGGAGATTATCAGTGGTCTTGTATGTCTTCCATTTCCTAATAATTGCTCCCACAGTTGATTTCTTCAAACCAAGCTGCTTACCTATTGCAGATTCAGTCTTCCCAGCCTGGTGCAGATCTACAATTTTGTTTCTGGTGTCCTTTGACAGCTCTTTGGTCTTGGCCATAGTGGAGTTTGGAGTGTGACTGTTTGAGGTTGTGGACAGGTGTCTTTTATACTGATAACAAGTTCAAACAGGTGCCATTAATACAGGTAACGACTGGAGGACAGAGGAGCCTCTTAAAGAAGAAGTTACAGGTCTGTGAGAGCCAGAAATCTTGCTTGTTTGTAGGTGACCAAATACTTATTTTCCACCATAATTTGCAAATAAATTAATTAAAAATCCTACAGTGATTTTCTGGATTTTTCTCTCTAAATTTGTCTGTCATAGTTGACGTGTGATGAAAATTACAGGCCTCTCTCATCTTTTTAAGTGGGAGAACTTGCACAATTGGTGGCTGACTAAATACTTTTTTTCCCCACTGTACTTCTGTCAAGTTTTAAGTCTGCAGAAAATACATTCCACCCCTCCCCGATAGTGCTTGACAAGGTCCTCGATTGGGTCTATTGAATTTCAAATCTCAGCCATGAAAACATGTTCTAAACAAAAGGAATGCCTTTTGACTCTTACAGGTAGTAATGTACCTTTATTACAACCTACTAATTATCCTTAGAAGGTATTAGAAAAGTATGAGTAGGTTCCCTAAGGAGAGTTAAGGGTTCAGACAGGCCTATAGTGGTGGGATGTCTTCTGTGTTCAAACTGTCCATCCCTCCTCCAGCCTGCTCTATAGGCCAGAGAGGTTTAATGCCAGGGGGTGTAATGGTGTTTTCACTTGAACTCAACAAGTGGACACTTGTTGCAGTAAGCTGTGGTCCACCCTCCTCATCTCCCACAGTGATCAGCCAACCTTACCATCATGGCTCCCAGCTCTGGGCCCGGCTGATATGTGGAAGAAGGCGAGGCCCCCAGTAGAGAGCATGTAGGGGATAAGCTTTTATTTGAGTCTCTTTGGATGAATGCCAGTGACATCTATAGTTTCATAGCCTTACCTAATAGGAAGAAACATGAGCTAGTTGTCAATGCAGAGACACCTTTGCGCCACTTCCTGGAAGTCCAAGCAACCAAGTCACATGATGAGAAGTGGAAGCACTGGCAGGTGGAATCTTCAATGAACATTTATGAGAAGAAGTTCTGGTTAAGTTCTGGACGGGAAGAGTGGCTGACGAAGACGTTGATAAGTATGGAATCTGGTACGGAGTGAGAAAGTACAGGGTAAAGTTGAAGAGGGGAAGGACGGGAGAGCTGTTAGAGGTGCCGAACACAATCTTCTTGGGCCCCTACGGTGGTAGGCTTTTCTACCACGGACAGGTCCTATGTTGCTTCATCAGTAACGTTGCTGACCATCAAGCCAAATAATGCACAACCATCAAGTGCTGGAGCTGTGGATCCCTTGGCCACAAGGCCAGAGAATGTAACACCAGCAAATGGACCCTATGTGACAAAAACGGCCACTCCTTCTTCGATTGCACAGAGTCCTACGCATATAGGAGGAGCGGCAGAGGGAGAAGGGAAGAAGGAGACCGAGTAGAACCACCTCTAGCCCACCCAATGGAGAGAAGACAGGCAGCTTCCAGTGAAGAACCAGCAGGACAGGAACGCAAGCAGCAGAAGCCCAAAGACAAGCAATCTGAGAGAGACCAGTCGGTCATCGAACGAGAAGGAGCGTGAGAGCGCGGAAGGAGACTATTTCGAAAGCGCTTCCTATATCGAGTACACCAGCAACTATTTTCTTCCTGAGAGCGAGGTTAACATAGGTGAATGGTCCTCCAACAGGGAACCAGAAGGAGTCGGAGACAACGACCGGAAGGCAAGTTCAAATGGAACTAAAAGGGAGACTAACCATTTAAATGAAATGTGGAAGGGGTAAACAATGGAAGATATAATTTGTTTTATTCCTTAAAGAGATACTTCGCAATTTTGGCAATGAGGCCCTTTATCTACTTCCCCAGAGTCAGATGAACTTCTGGATACCATTTTTGTGTTTCTGCTTGTGGTTTGAAGGAAGTTGTGCAATTGCCAACTAGCGTTAGTGCAATGAATGGAAGTCTGTGTGTATCTGATACAGATACACACAGACTTCCATTCATTGCTAACACTAGTTAGCAATTGCACAACTTCCTTCAAACCACACGCAGAGACAAAAATGGTATCCAGAAGTTCATCTGACTCTGGGGAAGTAGATAACATTCCCAAAATCCTGAAGTATCCCTTTAAAATCAATTCTCAATCCCTTTTCTCTTATGAAATATAAATGTGATGTAATGTATTGTTTTGATGTTAATCACCACTTGATCACAAAAACGAACGAAATATAAACAAAAACAAAGAATCTAAAGCCTATTGAATATGAAATGAAGATATTTTTAACACAAAAAAGCAACAAAACCAGAGATTATGCAAAACAAATGTCTGTATCTCATGAAAGAGAAAATAATCAGAGATATGGGTTTAAAGCTGATCTTGTTAAATAAAAAAAAGAATGGTGTGGGGAACGAGGTCTCTGGTCTAACCTGTCCCGATTAGGATTTACAATAATAAGGGAAAAAAATGCTGATGTACCTTCAACTTTATTCAACTTCACAACTCTGTTATAACATGTGCTTGTCTGAGAACTTCAGACTACTGAAACGTTCCTGGTAGTATAGTAAGTCTCAACAGAAATGCACTGAAGAAGTCAGGAGAACAAGACAAAGGAGAATAAATGGCTACAGGCCTGCATGCACACAGCTATGGAGTAAACAGACTGGTTGGTTCCCCTACACACAGGCTCAGTGCTGTATAGACTGCCCAGCTATGATCACACAGACAGACGAGAGAGAGAATTGTCTGTGTTACCAGCTTTCTGGACAGACTGTCGTCTCTCTGAGGGGTTGTACAGTCTCAGGAAAATCAAAGCAGCACTTTGAGTGCAGTGTGGTGTATTTGGTGGTATTATGCTGAACAATAACCAATTCAAAAAGGCACAATCCGATCCCGAATAGTCACCCACCCAACAAAAGCATAGGAAAGTACAGAGTGAGCAGAAACTAAGTCATAACAAATGAATCCATGGTGGCAAATAAACTAAAGAGAGATGTAGATGGACTAGATTGATGTCAAAGCACTGGCACTTGCCTGACATCCTGCCTGACTTAATGGGGTACGACAACATCAAGTCAATGGCCTAACTACTGCAGTGACACAGCTGTTTGTATGTCACACCACCGCAAAATGCATATAGCGTCTGTGTGTAAAACATTATTCCACTGGTCCTGGGTCAGAAAATACAGTCCTAAAGCATGTTAACAAATAAAGCATGTTTATTTCAAACTAAAACAGAATGCACCCAACATCCACCCTCTTTTTTTTGTTAATTGTTTTTTCCTCTGGCTTCCTTTGTCCTTTGAATCACTGCATTATGATGAACAAATCACAGACATTTATTTTAGGGATAACAGGTCATGTTTTTCATCTTTTAGGATGTTCCTTTTTAGAAGCAACTGTACTGTTCTCACTGTACGTAGGCTATATTCTGCTTAGAAACAAGAAGCATATAGGACACCACAAACGCATTCATTTAAAACTTTGCAGCAGCATAATTTAAAAGAAGAGACAAAACAGGCCAGCGACTGCTGTTTAAGTATTCCGTAATCTGGATTCAATCCATTGGAAACAGCCAGGATCCTTACACTCTTCCATAGGAAGGTCAAAGCTCTTTTTCTAATTTACAATTCAAACATTTTGGCAAGCAATTTTCATTAAAGTTCACCTAGCTTAAAATCGTGGGGTAGGGATAACTAAAAAAAGAAAGAAAATAATAACAAACTAAAATCACCATTTAATCAGCTAGCGAGCCATCTATTGAAGTACAACGTTATGTGAGAGATAAAATCAATTGTTAGGTTATCAGACAATATTATGTGAAATACTACCCAGGGTCCCGTGGGTCGCTGACATGAGTACAGAGAAGAGACAACTTTACAAAATGATCTTTACCTACTGAGTGATGATTGTCCCCTCAGTGTCTGTTTTCTCTACCACTGGCTGTTTCTCAGCTTCCTCCATCGGCTCACTCAGTCCATTGTCTACATCCTTTGTGGAGGAGCAAGAGGAGGTGGCATGCTGCGGGGGTTGCTGCTGGTCCAGGGGCTCCGGCAGGCATTGGGGTTCAACAGGGCTGTGTGTGAGGACCAGTGACATTGAGGGGGCAGGAGTGGGGGACAGGGTAGGGGTGGGAGCCCCCTCAGGTGTGGGCTCAGCCACTGCGTCAGTGTCCATCCTCGACCCTGTCCCATTGACCCACTGAGATGGAGGTTCCACCATGGGTTCAGGTTCTTTCATAGGTTCTTCCTGAGGTTTCTCTGGCTCCCCCTGGGTGTCAGTGATCTCATCACGGATGCTGGGGGCCTGTGGGGACACCTGGGGTGGCGACTGGGCCTGTGGCGGGGACAGGGCCTGGGGTGGTGACTGTGCCCGTGCCCGTGATGATGACTGGGCCTGGGGAGGGGACTTTGTCTGGAAAGGGGAATGGGCAGGGGGCGGCGACTGGGCCTGAAGGGAAGCATGGTTTTGGGGTGGTGACTGGTTCTGAGGAGAGGATTGGGTCTGGAACTCTGCCTGGGGCTCAGGACCGGGGAGGGCTTCATTCTTGGCTTGAGTTGGAAACTGGTTGGACTGGGGTGAAGCTTTAGGTGGAGACTGGGATGGGGCTTGAAGAAGAGACTTGGTTGGGACTTGAGATGTTGACCGAGTTAGGAGAGTTGGAGTTTGAAGCAGACCCGGTTTAGTTAGGAGTCCAGGTTTAGGTTGAAGCTTGGACTGTAGTTGCAGCAGGGCCTGAGGTTTGCCTTGGGTCAGGGAGAGGGTTGGGGTCAGGGTAGGAGTAGGGAGCAGGGGTTGTGGTAGAGGGAGAAGGGGTGTCCAGGCTCCACGCTTGTTACGGTCCCGCTCACGTTCCTTCTCCCTCTCCTTTTCTCGCTCTCTCTCCCGGTCACGCTCCTGCTCTCGTTCACGGTTGCCACGCTCACGGCCACGGTCCCTTTCTCTCTCGCGGTCCCTCTCCTTCTCATGGCTGTCTCTCTCACGGCGGTTGCCATTCATCTCCTTCCTGAAGTCAAAGTCCCTGTCCCGTTGCTGCCTGTCCCAAGGGCGCCGGCACTCATCCAAGTCCTGGGGCATGTCAGCATCAGCGAACGGTGCTGCAGCATCAACTCCACCACGACTCCACGCTGGGCCCCCTACAACACCACCGCCACCAGGACCACCAGCACATACTCCTCCTCCTACCCCTCCTGCTGATCCAACGCGGTTCTGGTTCTCAAAGCGGTTGGGGAAGTTCTGCCCCTGGTTGGAGCCAGGGCGCTCTTCCTGGAAGCCCTTGGAGACCCCGGCCGGTGAGCCCCGCATGTCACGCTCATCAAAGTCCCCTCTGGGTGGCCCCCAGCGACTCTGGGTCTGGGGGGTGAAGCCGGCGAGGGCCTGAAGCCGTCCTACCACGCTGTCTCTAGCTGTTTCTCTCACTGGGGTCTGGAGCAGGGCAGGTCTGCCTCCGCCCATACCCCCACCACCAGCTCCTCCACCACCTATACCCATGGACTCTCTGTGCTCCAGTGGAGGGGTCCTCAGCAGGCCTGTGCTCTGCTTCTCCTGGGGCGGAGGGAAGCGGTAGTCTTGGTCCCCCCCCTGCTGGCTGTCGTCAGCTGCAGAGGAAGGCTCGTCCTCAGCCTTGGACATGCTTTCGTTTGGGGGGTTGGGCCCCCGGTTGAAGGCCTCCTCGGCCCTGTTGAAGCGTTCCATCTGGGAGGCCGCTCTGGCCCGGGCCTGGGCATGGAGGGACGCTTCCAGGAGGCTCTGTTGAGACAGGCCCTGCTGCATCAGGAGGGGGAAGCGGGCCCCAGATCCCTGGAGCATAGTAGGCCGGAGGTCCAGCGGCATCAGCCCAGGCATCCTCTGGCCTGGCAGGCCCTGCTGGTGCAGGGGGTGGGTAAGGGAGGCTGAGGGGTGCATCCCCAGAAGACCCATACCACGACTCATTGCATTCTGCATACCTAGAGAGAAGAGGAGCACAATATATTATTTAACAATAAAAAGCAGGTCTTATCAGCAAAGTCTTGACAAAGTGAGAAGCTTTTCAAAAGTCATTAAGAACAAACATCCTCTTACCTTGCAGTACTAACTCTGCAGCGGCATCCATGCCGTCAGCAGATTGGCCCGTCTTGTCATTGGCTCCTTGCTGCGTCTGGACTCCGGGTTGAAGCTGGTTGAAGACCCCTTGTCCAGGGAGGGCAGAAGGCATGAAGCTCCCTGGGATAGTGGCTCCGTATGGGGAGTCCTTCATGCTGTCCTGAGCCTGTGACATGGAGGCCGGCACCAGAGCTGCAGGAGAGGAACAGAACAAATCGGGAAGTATCTTTCTTCAAATAAAGTATTTTTAAATAAAGCAAATCGCTGGCTTCTTACAACATTTTCATATTTATGGCAATATTTACACAAATAGTAATGCAAGTAATGACTTCTATAGACTCAGGTCATGCAGAACTTACATGTAGGAGCTGAGCCCATGCCTGCTTGCTGAGGAACACCTGCTGCCTGCATGAAACCTACAGGAGGGAGAAACACCACACCATTATCTGGATTTTCTAAATAATAAATCACATTTTTTAAATTCAATACTCTTCACTGGCAGCTGCATCAGACTGCTGTGTCTTACCTGGAGGAGGCTGGGAGGCGTTGAACCCTGCTCTGAGGAAGGGGGGCAGGGGGCCGTAGCCTGGCGGGGGCATCGCCATGGAAACAGGGAAGGATGGCGGCACAAGACCCACGGCAGGGACAGCCTGGCGCACAGGGAGCTGAGAGGGGACAGAGAGGAGAGTTAAACTATTAAAATGAGTGATAGGATGAATATGCATTGATCAGCTGTGATTCCTGTAACATAATTTAACAATCAATCACAGAATTTGGAGGAACAATAGTTTTCCACTGATAATCAGGGTTTAAGACAAACACTGTGAAAAAACACAACAGCAACATTAAAATGCTTTGGGTGTTGAGATGTAATATGACTGACGAGTCGAATAAGGCCTTGACCCTGTGTGTGTGGCTAAGTATGCATGTCTGAGCTTAGTAGTAGGGATGAGCATTTTAAATGATTTCACAATTCAAATAATATCATTATATTATTTCTAATATATCCGGATAGTCTAAAAATGTTTAAATGTTATTTATTTATGTTTAAACTTCAAATGGAGACTGCGTTGCTGAGCTCTGCTTGTTTCAGCAGGGGCGAGAGAGAAGCAGCGGTGTGTGTGTGAGAGTGAGAGAGAGAGAGAGAGAGAGAGAAAGAGACAAGAGAGACGCCAAACCGACTCACGCTAGTTAAGACAAACTTTTGCTGCCGTAGGTTATCTATCATACCATCTGGTAGTGCGCCTGTCTTGACTGCATCAAATCACTGTAAAATAGCTAACTACAGAATCCAACAACTCCATATGAAACAACGGCCTACCTGTTGGTTGATCATTGTAGCCTACTCCTTCTCATTTAGCTAACAAATCCATAATATTTATTCCAGTTTGCATTGACTAGAAATATCCCCCTTCACTTGCTACATGGAGACTCAGACCGTTGCGCCACTTTGATTGACCGACAATAGCAACAATATACAAGTGTGAAATGTATGCATGCTACCGGTGCGTCTTTTTTTATGGGGTGCACGCATAAAAAAAACGGTCAAAACTTGTTTTATAACAATGTCAAACGTCATTGTCTACCGTTGTAGGCTATGTAGCAATGTCCCAGATAATTGTATAAAACATTTAGACAATGCCTCTTCATTCTTAAAATAGGCCTATATTTTGGGTATTTAGTTAATCGAATATTAACGTCCGATCGGATATTCAAATAACCATGCCCATCCCTACTTAGTAGACAGATTAACTCTGAGATTAGTTGTATGCTACTTACCCACAGCCTAAACACTTCCCCCACCTACTGAACCAACCCTTCTCATGAGGCCCACCCAAGAACAAAGAAACAGGCCGTGTATCCTGCATTCACTCAACAACCCTATCAACCCCATCACAAAGGAGTCAGGAAGAGAAACCTGAGGCCAGTCTAAACACTTGAGGCTAAGCACCCCACAGACAGGGCAGGCAGCTAGCACTAATCACAGGAAGACTATGGTGTTCAGTTTCACACCACTGACTGGCCCCATGGTAGACGCTTAGTACAGAGGAAATCGGAGAGAAAGCATGGAAATGTGAGAGGCCCAGTAAATTCTACCCTCACACAAACATCTACAGGATGATGAAAGCAACGCACAAAACTATGTATTTTTGCTTCAACGTTGAATGTTAGTTTATTGTTAGATCTCTGAGGTTTAGGTACCTGTACGGGCATCATGGAGACCTGTTGGCTGAAGGCCTCTTCCTGGGTCTGTTGGGTGTTGGTGGCTGCTATGGGTTCAACGCTCACAGCCTGGCTCACCGCTTCCTTCATTGGCTCTGGCGCATTCTTGGCTGCTTCCCACTCTACAGTAAAAATAAAATAAAAAATAAGAGGGTTAGAGAAGAAGATTCAATGTACGACAGTCACATACAGTGCCCCTAATTAACAGTGCATTCTGAAATTATTCAGACCCCTTGACTTTTTCCACTTTGTTACGTTACAGCCTTATTCTAAAATGGATGTTTCTTTTTTTTTTTTATCGTCAACAATCTACATACAATATCCCATAATCACAGATCAAAAACAGGTTTAGAAATTTTCGCACATTTATTACAAACAAAAAACAGAAATACCTTATTTACGTAAGTGTTCAGACACTTTGCTATGAGACTCAAAATTGAGCTCAGGTGCATCCCATTTCCAATTGATCATCCTTGAGATGTTTCTACAACTTGGGAGTCCACCTGTGGTAAATTCAATTGATTGGACATGATTTGGAAAGGCACACACCTGTCTATATAAGGTCCCACAGTTGCCAGTGCATGTCAGAGCAAAAACCAAGAACTGAGGTCGAAGGAATTGTCCGTAGAGCTCTGAGACAGGATTGTGTCGAGGCACAGATCTGGGGAAGGGTAGCGAAAAACGTCTGCAGCATTGAAGGTCCCAAGAACACAGTGGCCTCCATCATTCTTAAAATGTAAAAAGTTTGGAACCACCAAGACTCTTCCTAGAGCTGGCCGTCCGGCCAAACTGAGCAATCGTGGGAGAAGGGCCTTGGTCAGGGAGGTGACCAAGAACCAGATGGTCACTCTGACAGAGCTCCAGAGTTCCTCTGTGGAGATGGGAGAATCTTCCAGAAGGACAACCATCTCTGCAGCACTCCACCAACCAGGCCTTTATGGTAGAGTGGCCAGACAGAAGCAACTCCTCAGTAACAGGCACATGACAGCCCGCTTGGAGTTTGCCAAAAGGCACCGAAAGACTCTCGGACCATGAGAAACAAGATTCTCTGGTCTGATGAAACCAAGATTGAAGTCTTTGGCCTGAATGCCAAGCTTCACGTCTGGAGGAAACATGGCACCATCCCTAGGGTGAATCATGGTGGTGGCAGCATCATGCCATGGGGATTTTTTTCAGTGGCAGGGACTCCGAGACTAGTCAGGATCAAGGGAAAGATGAACGGAGCAAAGTGCAGAGAGATCCTTGATGAAAACCTGCTCCAGAGCGCTCAGGACCTGAGACTGAGGCGACGGTTCACTTTCCAACAGGACAACGACCCTAAGCACACAGTCAAGACGACGCAGGAGTGGCTTCGGGACAAGTCTTTGAAGGTCCTTTAGTGGCCCAGCCAGAGCCCGGACTTGAACCCGATCTAACATCTCTGGAGAGACCTGAAAATAGTTGTGCAACGACGCTCCCCATCCAACCTGACAGAGCTTACAGCTTTTAATTTTTAATAAATTAGCAAAATTTTCTAAAAAACTGTTTTTGCTTTGTCATTATGGGGTATTGTGTGTAGATTGATGAAGGAAAAAAAAACAATTTAATCCATTTTAGAATAAGGCTGTAACGTAACAAAATGTGGAAAAAGTAAAGGGGTCTGAATACTTTCCCAATGCAATGTATGTATGTCTTTTATTTGTTTATAAGTAATCATTAGTGTTGATCCTGTGTGTGCTTTGTTTGTATATGACAGGGCATCAGCATGTAGCCTGCTGTGTCTGCTCACCGGCGTTGACAGTCTCCTGGTCGATCATGCCTCCCTCAGCAAAGCCGTCCAGGTCGTCCAGCTTGACCTTCTCCCAGGGTATGTAGGTGACCCCCAGGTCCATGTCCCAGAACTGCTTATACTCTTGCTTCACTCCCTTATTCAGCGCCCACGCAATCTGAACACAGCAAGAGAACACACACATACAGTACATACAATCATCAGGGGATATACATGAAAGAGCAGAAATATCGAGGCCATTTGAGTCGAAATAGGAGAGAATCAAATATGTACCGGCTGGGTTGCTATGAGGTCAGTGGTATGGTAAGCGAGGCGCCCAAGCGATTTAAAAACATTACACATACAGAGGACATGAACTGACTGCAGTCAAATGGCAATCACATCACAGGACAAAATGGAGCGGGGGGACCTTGGCGGCATAGTATAAAAATGAGCAGGAACTGTTATCAAATAAAATTGACTTCACCTTGATGACCTTGGAGACGATCTTGAATGAACCAGTGCTGAGTTTCTGTCTGGCGCGGTAGGCATCCTGTCTATGGACCATACAGATGTAGGCACAGCCGCGAGGAGGGATCATCTATAGAAGGAATGAGATAGAGAGGGGGATGTAGACAAAGAGTGGATGAGAGAGGGAGGAAGAAATTGAGGAGGGAGAAAGTAAGAGGGTTAAGCACTTAATAACCCACAGTAAAGTCAGAACTTGCTAATGAAAAATGCTTGCTCTGGCTTAAAGAGCCAAGTGAGTCCTTTAAAACTGGACACAGTTGCGATGATTCATATTTTCCTCAGGTCAGAGGTGACAGAGCTTGCAAAACCACATAATGAGCGGCAGTTAATAGAGTCAACTCAGGCTCACTCTGAGATGGAGAGAGGGAGAGGGTGCTCTACTCACATTGATGGACTCAATCTGACCAAACTCTTCAAATAGGTTGGTGAGGTCCTGCTGACTGGCCTTCTTGTCCACCTGTCCCACCCACAAAGTGGTGCTGCACACTGAGGACACATAGTAGAAAGGAGGTGGTGGTTTAAATTATATTAAAGGTGGTAAGTGTGCACAAAGTCTGGAACCAACAGGACCCTGAATATCTTCTACCCCCAAGCCATAAGACTGCTAAATAGTTAACTAAATAGCTACCCAGACTATCTGCATTGACCCTCTTTGTACTAACTATTTTGACTCATCACATACGCTGCTGCTACTGTTAATTATCTATCCTGTTGCCGTACCTATATGTACATATCCACCTCAATTACCCTGTACCCCTGCACATCGACTCAGTACTGGTACCCCGTGTATATAGCCAAGTTATTGTTACTCATTGTGTACTTTCTATACTTTTTTCTCTCTGCATTGTTGGGAAGGGCCCATAACTAACCATTTCATTGTTAGTCTACACCTGTTGTTTACGAAGAATGTGACAAATAAAATTTGATTTAAAAAATATAAAGATAGAAGTGACTGTGGACATTTCTATGATTAGGGATACACAGAAACATGGTAGGAGTCATTTGTCAAGGTGAAGGGGCCAGCGAAGAGTAAAAAGGTGCCGTATTGAAAGCTCATTACCACTGAGAAACTTGGATCGGATGGGAGGCAGTCCTTTCTTCTGACGCTCTTTCTCTCGCTCGCGGGCTTGTCTCTCGCTGGAGTAGGACCGCGACGACTTCCTCTTCCGCTCTCTGGAGCGTGACCGCGACCGCTTACGGTGTTTCCGTTTCCGAGAGCCTGACCGTGATCTGGACCGTCTCTTCCTGGGAGATCTAGAGTAGAGGGTTATTTTTAAGGTATTTTGATGCCAGTAGTCATGGTAACTAAGATCAACATGGATGGTGGTGCTATAATCTGCGCCTCTGCAAAGTGTCTCAGGTAGCCTTATGGACGGTTTCTGTCAGAATGGGTCCCTAGACTCACCTCGATCGTGACCTAGACCGTGTTCTTGACCGCGTGTCGACCATCTTGGACTTCTTGTCCTCTGGTTCGAAGCGCTCTTCCTCCATCTCTGGCCCGTCATCCAGGTCCATGTCCTTTAACACAGGCATCATTACAACAGTGCTCTACTTACAAAGACAACAGAGCTCTAACAATTGCAGATATATATATATATATATACACACTACCAGTCAAAAGTTTGGACACACCTACTCATTCAAGGTTTTTCTTTATTTTTACATTGTAGAATAATAGTGAAGACATCAAAACTATGCCAAGAGTGTCCAAAGCTGTCATTAAGGCAATGGGTGGCTAGTTTGAAGAATCTCAAATATATTTTGATTTGTTTAACACTTTTTTGGTTACTACATGATTTCATGTGTTATTTCATAGTTTTGATGTCTTCACTATTAGTCAACAATGTAGAAAATAGTCAAAATAAAGAAAAACCCTGGAAGGAGTAGGTGTGTCCAAACATTTGACTGGTACTGTATATATCGGTTCAGCCAAAGTCAGTGAGGGAAACAAAGGATTACCTGCTGCTGGTTGTCAATGGAGTCATCCATCTTGTTTTGTGGCGCAGGGTGCTGTGATTGGCTGCTGCTCTGTTGGGGCATGGCCGAGCTCTCAGACCCAAATATTCCATCCTGCCCCTCTATGTTCATGGACTGGAAAAGGTCAAAAGGTTATACTGTCAAGAGGGTTTCAATACATCATGGATGCACACTGGTGAGGGCCCAAAAAGGTGACTTTTTTTTTTGTTGCACTGAAACATGCAAAAGATCCTTGCTAGGGGGGATAGAAAATAAATAAAAATAAATATCAGCTTTAAAATGCTAATTTCTAGTGAATCCCTTCTTGAAATGCAGGTTTTAACTAATTAAACAACAAAGAATGATCTACATGATCAGTCTCTGTGTGTAAAATAAAAAGTGGTTAATGTGAACCTAACGCACAGCTAAAAAATGTAAGGAAAGCAATCCAATGTTATTTGTTGCCTACACTTTACTGCAAATGCCACTCAAGTCCAGAGAAAAAACAATACATTAATATTGCAGTTAGCCATGACAGCCTTCGTAATAGAAAGCTTGTGACCACACACACATCTAAATATTGCACTTGGGAAAAAAACATCTTAAAGTAGAAATAGAATGAAACAAACAGGCATTCTATTTTTTCTCTATTCTAGTGGCTACGAATATAGTGGCCACTATAGCAGACATTGATCAAGTGCACAAGGCTATATGTGTGCAAAAATAACATTCACTGAGTAAAAACTAAAAGAATCCCCCCTCAATCACACACAACTGTATGTCAAGTTCAACACAACAAAAGCAATAGCTTTGGGCTACACTGCACGTTATTACCTTGTGCACTTTCTGCCTGTGGACATCTGTTCTACAATGTGCCAGCAGCAGAACATGAGACCCTTTGTTGGCATAATTGATTTCTTTCAGGCAGAGTACACCTGGCATACCCCTTTTTATCCACCGTATTGAAAAAGTGAGAAAGAGGGAAAGTGTGTGGTGTTCCTTTCACCTCTATAGTGGCATCCATCTTAAACCAGGCCCAGCTCCAGCTAACGTTACACTTCATCCCTGAATCCACTTGTTTAACAAGCAACGCCTCATTTTCACCTAATTCTCTCATTCTGAAAATTAACCACACACTGTAGAGGGAAAACATTAGTTCATAGATAGTTTGTCAGCTAGTTAACTAGCTAACGGAGAATTCGATCCAGCTAGCGTAGCAAGATACTTAACAATGCTAACAATTTTTGTTCCACCACACTTGCTCGCTCACCTCAAACTTTCCAAATGCCAGTTGTTTTTTGGTAAAAGTTAATGAAGTACGCTTCATCACCTTCTCACCCCCGTCTCCGTCGTCAGGCTTCTCACCTACCTCTTTGTTATCATTCAGGATTGCTCCAAACATGCATCACTCGTTCGCATACAGCCTGTACTGATCCAAAGCCCCCCAACCCCCCAAACTTCACATAGGTTACCTATTTTGGATTCAAAACGGCGAATTTCGCCGAAAGGTGACTAGTATACATGGATATGACAAGCAAACAATAAGTGACTCCACAAGTCCCTGGGGGTGATATGTAGGTACCTTCTGCTGGTGCTCCATGAGTTGCTTCTGGAACTGCTCCAGGTTCTGCTGCTGCAGCTGCTCAGCCAGCTGGTGGAAGATGGAGTCAGACACCATCGGCCTGGAGGGAGACGGGGAAGACAGACAGGGGAGACGGGTCAAGAGTTCCGTTAACTACCGCTCCGTCACACAGGTATAGGACAGTCAACGTGCATACACAGAACCGGTGACATATTCCATAGCAGGGCTCTCCAACCCTGTTCCTGGAGAGGTGCCGTCCTGTAGATTTTTGTGCCAACCCTAATCTAGTGCACCTGATTCTAATAATTACTTGGTTGATAAGCTGAATCAGGTTAGTTACAACTGGGGTTGGATTGAAAACCTATGTGAGGGTAGTTCCCCAGGAACAGGGTTGGAGAGCCCTGTTCCACAGGATCTTAGACGTTTTAGGTTGATGTTCATGCTTACATCTGCGATGAATGGGCGTCCTTTTTGGAGTCTTCAGAGCGTTCGGAATCGTTCCCAAAGTCAAAATGACCCAACATTTTCTGCAACAAATGGAGAAAGACAATTATTAAAATACAGATCTGAGAGTCACATGTAGTAGCGCGTAGTTATCACACAAAACTCAAAAGTTAGCATTAACAACCAAACATACTTAATATCACTAGGACTTACTTCCATTCCATTTATGTGTATGTGGCCTTGATCTCTCACCTTGTTGAAGGAGGAGATCCTCTGCTCCAGGGGGTTGAGCTGCATGGGATTGGCTGAGGCGGCTGCAGTGAGCTGGGCCGTCAGAGCCTGCAGCTGGACCACCAGTCCCGCATCCAGCGCCTGTAGCAGAGACGGCTGGGGCTTCTGCTGCTGCAGCTGCAGACTCTGCACCAGCTGCTGGAGCTGTTACACAGATACACAAACAGATAGACAGGGTTAGAGTAGGAGACATTGCAAGGCCACATCTGGTCATTTTCCAAAGGAATGTTTTGTAAACAAAGGAGCATCAGAACGGTCAGTTCAAGATCAAAAGCTTTTGTGTTCATTATGTTGGTTTCCATTACACAGACTCAACAAGTATACAAGTGGAAACAAAAACAAAGGGATACTGGGAGATTCTGGCAATTTAGCAGTTTCTCGTATGTTACCGTACCTCTAGACTTCCAGTTATTGCGCTAATGCTAGCTAGTTTTGTGAGCCAATGCTATCTCCAACTTCGTTCATACTGCACACAGACACAAGAATGTTATCCACAAGTTCATCTGACTCTGGGTAAGAAACATTTAATTGCCAGAATCATGCAGTATCCTTTTAAAACATGCCAACAATCTGAAGAGGCAGTGTCTGATGTTGAATTGACTGGCTGAGGATCAGGGAGCTGCTGTGCGGACTGACCTGTTGGCCGTGTGGACTCTGCAGGATCTGGGCCACAGCAGCTACAGTGTCTGTGTTGGAGAACTGAGACGCCCAGTCAGGCAGACTGGATACGATGTTGGCTGGGGTGGCCGGGGTCGCTGGGGTACCTGGACACAAACACAGAATATCAATCATGAGAAATCAACATTAATAATAAGAAAAACATCTACATTTGAAGTTGATTAAAGAGCCATGCCTGGTCACAAGAAGGCCTCTGAGTATTTAGTGTCAGTTCAGGAGAGAGGATTATTTTGCCACCGGGTGTCAGTATAGAGCTATATGTCTTATGGATGTGTTGTGTGACTGACCAGGCGTAGTGTTGTTGACTTGAGCATCCCTGCTGGTCATGACAGGGGTGACACTGGGAGGGGGCAGTCCTGCAGCCATGTCCAGCAGCGGCTGGATGATGTCACTCTTGAAGACTGCGTTCTTCTGCCACAGGTTGAGGACTCGGACAATCTTACTCTGGAACACAACACAAGCCAGAATTAGCTCCTAGACAAGATCAGACTGACACAACACAACCAACCAATCAAAACTAGACCACTGTAGCGAATGAGTCAGTCTAAAGTTGATGCTGTATACACATTTAAAGTATGAAAAGAGCATATGAATTGATCTAATTCCCCACAAACATTTAATAATATGGTTTTTCAAACAATTCTACAGATCAGATCTATCACTAACAATACAGAGGATATGTGTAGTCAGAGGTAGAAGAGAAGGTGAAAGCTAGAAAAGAGTTTCTGAATAGAGAAACCAGAGAGATGTCTCTGTTCCCTCTGTGACCCACCTTGTCATCTGAGGGGCAGCGGTAGAGATGTTGGAAGGTTCCGATTATGTTTTTGCTGAAGCGCGGGGCGAACACATCCTTGTCCTGGCCAAACTGGTGCCGTGACTGCCGCACGATGGAGTCCATGACATACAGGCCTGGGACCTTGTACTCTGGCTTGCACTGTCAACACAACAAGGTTGTTTAGCGTCACTGGGGTGAATGGCTTATGATTGGCAAGTATCCCATTAATATCAATGCATGATTTGGGAGCACAGATTTGTGTTCCATTTTACTCTGTTTGGGACTGGTAAAACTGAAAAATGAGAAACTCACTTTCTGAACAAACTTTTCCACGCCCTGGACAACATGTTTGTAGTACTGAAAGACAAGAAAAAAAGGAAAGACTCATTGTGATACCCCACCAAAACTACAGCATCCCTGGAGATAAAGACCTGAAACTGGTCAAAGACAGCGGTTATAGCATTATCAACAGCAGTATCTGTGAAACGAAGAGCAATTACATCATGCCAAGTGACACAAACTAGGGATGGGTATTTGAAATAATTTAACTTTTCGCATAATAGTGTTTATTCCGCATAATATATTTTGCGGGACTGCTTGATTGCAGCAGCGCGATTGGCAGGGGGTGGTGAGTTTTACATGGGAGGGAGAGTGAAAGAGAGTAGCCATACAGACTCACGGTATTTAGACAAACTTGTAGATTCCATTGGTTATCTATCATCCTATCTGGTAGTGCCTGCCTTGAATCCAACAAATCGATGTAAAGAAGCTAGCTAAGATGTCCAGCTATGTTAGCCAGCTAGCTGGCTAGCTACCTAGGCTAAAGGTAATGGAGGCTATTTTGCTGATCTTAGCGGTCTTCCCATCCTTGTAGTTGTAGCCTACTCCTCATTTAACTAATTCCGTAATTGTAATTGACTAAAGATCTCCCACATTGGCTACTACGGTATGTATTTTTATGGGGTGCACGTCATAAAATCTACATTCAAAAGTCAGCGGTTTTACTGAATTAAACAGGCCTATTTCTCGCTCCTTGAAGGGGAAAACACCGGAGGACCAAATAACTGATTCACAATAGGAGAAAATCAAGTTGACCAATGAAAAAAACAGAAGTTGTACATTGGAATTGACTCAATACAATATTCACTGCTTCAAATGAAGGTAATTCCTTTGCATTCAAGCCATGTTCTCAGCTGCCTGCCACCATATTACAGAGTAATTGATTCCTTTGATTAATTGTTGCCATAGTGTTTAGGCTATATGCTGGTAAGGAGGGGAGGAGAGGTGGGGACTGCAAAGACCTTTGGGATGACTCAAGTATATGCAAAGAGGTAGGCTATGCTGTCTTAGACATAGTGCAGCCTGGGTAATAGAAGACTCCACAGATCAGTGTAGTTGGGGGTATTGTGCAGAATCATTTCACAGGGCTTATTACACCACAAAGAGAGAGAACGAGAAGAGGGAGAATAATGAAGGAGAGAACGGGAACATCACCAAATAGAGAAATTACACACCGTCATGTGTTTGAATGAATGAGTCCTTCAATTTCTTTGGCTCATCCATAGTTAATAGATACTTGCCAACTCATGATACACTACACCTGTCCCATTACAGCTAGTGGTGTAGGTTTACTGCAGTGCTGCTGGGATAAAAATATGAAGGAAAGAAAAAAGCATTAATTTGGCTTCAGCGCTCAACTACTGTGCTTCTGGCCAATAGGTATAATACAGTGTTCATTGGTGAATGCCCCGTGCGGTGACGCCAAAAGGCACATTTCCATACTGGGGTGTAAATAAATAAAAATAGGCTACATCTTTCTGATCTAATCATGATTCCCAGCCCATGCATTCCTTCTACTCTCTTTACACACACAGTAACATGGTCACCCATCTTATTACAGACTTATAAATCTACAGTGCAACATTTACTTAATAATTGAAAGCTCTCAATAAATTGTGTGAAAGGTAAAGCACATCAAGCCAAAGTGGACCACAGGGCCATATGGGATAAGTGGTGCCATTCAACTCTAGCAGAACTGCTAGCAGATGGCGCTAAAGTTGACTTATTCCTCCAGATTACAGAACAAAGTACACTGCTCAAAAAAATAAAGGGAACACTTAAACAACACATCCTAGATCTGAATGAATGAAATAATCTTATTAAATACTTTTTTATTTACATAGTTGAATGTGCTGACAACAAAATCACAAACAATCAACCCATGGAGGTCTGATTTGAAGTCACCCTCAAAATTAAAGTGGAAAACCACACTACAGGCTGATCCAACTTTTATGTAATGTCCTTAAAATGAGGCTCAGTAGTGTGTGTGGCCTCCACGTGCCTGTATGACCTCCCTACAACGCCTGGGCATGCTCCTAATGAGGTGGCGCATGGTCTCCTGAGGGATCTCCTCCCAGACCTGGACTAAAGCATCCGCCAACTCCTGGACAGTCTGTGGTGCAATGTGGCGTTGGTGGATGGAGCAAGACATGATGTCCCAGATGTGCTCAATTGGATTCAGGTCTGGGGAACAGGCGGTCCATAGCATCAATGCCTTCCTCTTGCAGGAACTGCTGACACACTCCAGCCACATGAGGTCTAGCATTGTCTTGCATTAGGAGGAACCCAGGGCCAACTGCACCAGCATATGGTCTCACAAGGGGTCTGAGGATCTCATCTCGGTACCTAATGGCAGTCAGGCTACCTCTGGCGAGCACATGGAGGGCTGTGCGGCCCCCCAAAGAAATACCACCCCATACCATGACTGACCCACCGCCAAACCGGTCATGCTGGAGGATGTTGCAGGCAGCAGAACGTTCTCCACAGCGTCTCCAGACTCTGTCACGTCTGTCACGTGCTCAGTGTGAACCTGCTTTCATCTGTGAAGAGCACAGGGCGCCAGTGGCGAACTTGCCAATCTTGGTGTTCTCTGGCAAATGCCAAACGTCCTGCACGGTGTTGGGCAGTAAGCACAACCCCCACCTGTGGACGTCGGGCCCTCATACCACCCTCATGGAGTCTGTTTCTGACCGTTTGAGCAGACACATGCACATTTGTGGCCTGCTGGAGGTCATTTTGCAGGGCTCTGGCAGTGCTCCTCCTGCTCCTCCTTGCACAAAGGCGGAGGTAGTGGTCCTGCTGCTGGGTTGTTGCCCTCCTACGGCCTCCTCCACGTCTCCTGATGTACTGGCCTGTCTCCTGGTAGCGCCTCCATGCTCTGGACACTACGCTGACAGACACAGCAAACCTTCTTGCCACAGCTCGCATTGATGTGCCATCCTGGATGAGCTGCACTACCTGAGCCACTTGTGTGGGTTGTAGACTCCGTCTCATGCTACCACTAGAGTGAAAGCACCGCCAGCATTCAAAAGTGACCAAAACATCAGCCAGGAAGCATAGGAACTGAGAAGTGGTCTGTGGTCACCACCTGCCGAACCACTTCTTTATTGGGGGTGTCTTGCTAATTGCCTATAATTTCCACCTGTTGTCTATTCCATTTGCACAACAGCATGTGAAATGTTTTGTCAATCAGTGTTGCTTCCTAAGTGGAAAGTTTGATTTCACAGAAGTGTGATTGACTTGGAGTTACATTGTGTTGTTTAAGTGTTCCCTTTATTTTTTTGAGCAGTGTATTTCTACAGGTTGCCTATACTTTGAGAAACATGCATTACAGTGTGGGGCACTTTGGACACACGAAGGAGCTATAAAAAGTGCCAAGGAAATATTACTTAGATACCTTGCCCTGCATATTTTTCTTAGAGCTAGTAGGTCTATATTTTGCACTGTGACATCATCTCCAAGGCCGTGACAGCAAATATACATTTCAGTAATCTGCACACATTCCACAAGCAAGTTCACATCCATTCCCAGGGTCAACGCAGAGCTGCTAGACATCATATGACACTAGCTAGGCCTAATATTAATTTTTTGGGTTTCACTTGAAAAACAGAAATGGAGGCACACATTTAAAAAAGTAATGGAACATCATTGAAGAAAAATTTCTCACCAAAGCCAATACATTAAACGCATAATACTAGTTTGTGAAATTCCCAACATGGTAGCCATGTAGAATAGTGAATGGGACAAAATGCAAGCATTGAAAACTTGAGACAGACACTGCTCACAGATGCTTTATAACAATAGGATTAAGGAATGGTTCAACCTATTAGTTGGCCCAGCTGTTAAACTACAATCTCCATAGGTATTAAAAAAACGTTCAAATAACTAAACCAATGAAGCAGATAACACGCAGGCTAAATTAGCTCATAGCTCTGTCTGAAACTGGTTCAGTATCAGTGAGCCTGAAAGGCAGATAGCTACAATCATCCCAGCAACACAACATACAGTCAGAAAGCTATACAGTGAGGGAAAAAAGAATTTGATCCCCTGCTGACTTTGTACGTTTGCCCACTGACAAAGAAATGATCAGTCTATAATTTTAATGGTAGGTTTATTTGAACAGTGAGAGACAGAATAACAAAACACTCCAGAAAAACGCATGTCAAAATTGTTATAAATTGATTTGCATTTTAATGAGGGAAATAAGTATTTGACCCCTCTGCAAAACATGACTTAGTACTTGGTGGCAAAACCCTTGTTGGCAATCACAGAGGTCAGACGTTTCTTGTAGCTGGCCACCAGGTTTGCACACATCTCAGGAGGGATTTTGTCCCACTCCTCTTTGCAGATCTTCTCCAAGTCATTAAGGTTTCGAGGCTGACGTTTGGCAACTCAAACCTTCAGCTCCCTCCACAGATTTTCTATGGGATTAAGGTCTGGAGACACTCCTTTGTTGCCTTGGCCATGTGTTTTGGGTCATTGTCATGCTGGAATACCCATCCACGACCCATTTTCAATGCCCTGGCTGAGGGAAGGAGGTTCTCACCCAAGATTTGATGGTACAAGGCCCCGTCCATCGTCCCTTTGATGCGGTGAAGTTGTCCTGTCCCCTTAGCAGAAAAACACCCCCAAAGCATAATGTTTCCACCTCCATGTTTGACAGTGGGGATGGTGTTCTTGGGGTCATAGGCAGCATTCCTCCTCCTCCAAACACGGCGACTTGAGTTGATGCCAAAGAGTTCCATTTCGGTCTCATCTGACCACAACACTTTCACCCAGTTCTCCTCTGAATCATTCAGATGTTCATTGGCAAACTTCAGACGGGCCTGTATATGTGCTTTCTTGAGCAGGGGAACCTTGCGGGCGCTGCAGGATTTCAGTCCTTCACGGCGTAGTGTGTTACCAATTGTTTTCTTGGTGACTATGGTCCCAGCTGCCTTGAGATCATTGACAAGATCCTCCCGTGTAGTTCTGGGCTGATTCCTCACCCTTCTCATGATCATTGCAGCTCCACGAGGTGAG